ACTAAAATTAGGGGGGATAATTCGAGTGATCCCAATAGCGAGTTTCCTATATGACCAAACCTATGCGTGAGTTCCTTTTCATCCTAATAATAGAAAAAAATGCTCATACAATAATATTTTACCGAAACAATTTTTCAGTCGATAGATTCTCTAAATTAATTTTAAAACATACTAAAGATCAAACGCTGAAAAAATTCCAAATTTAAATAATTCTCTGGGATGTTTCATTTAACTCGTAGGCTTTTTACAAATTGATTTGAAAATATTTTTAAAATTAAACAAATACAAGATTTTAGATAATTAGTAATTAAGAAGTTAAAACATAAACATTCATTGAGAAATTAAGAATGTTTCAAATAAAATCAAAACAAAGTATTTATCATTGCCATTTAAAATTGATGACATCCAAAAACCCAAATTCAAATCAAAACAAAGTAAAAATTTCGAATGAAGAGTAATTTTAAAAAACATTTGAGTGGATGTACAAGATGAGATAGATGTGTGTGTGTGATGTCTTCGTGGATTGAAAGTAAACCGAAAGACTGAATGTACAAGTATGTTTGAGTATGAATGACATGGGTGGGTGGGTGTTTGTTATTTGACTGAAATCTAAATGCACAACAGTGTGTAATAGATAATGTCAAAATATGCAGACGGACAGTTTGGAAAAAAAATCATCATGAATGCAAACCAACCACAAAAAATCGACTAAAAAAATTTACAAATCAATTCGAAAAGATTTAATGACGTTGCTTGAAAATATATTTATTATCTATTTGGACAACAATAAATTAACACACAGCCAAACAAACACAAACGGACGGACTTTTGAGATGTACTGTAGATGTGTATAAATACAAGTAAAGGAATAAATGATGGATACATAGTAATTAAACATTATGTTTAGTTGAGTGTAATAAATCAAATTGTATGAAATACAGTTATTCAAAATTTCTTATAAAGTTAAGGAATGTCTTCAAGAAGTGCCTTAGTCTTTAAAAGGATAATTTGATAAAATTTAATCGATCAGAAATGTATTCGAATTTGGCGTAGATTTTGTTTGCGTTTTCATTGACTTGTAATTTCCGGATGAGTGTCGCTCCCATGTTACCTTGATGAATCTCTCCTCATCTTGGTGATATTATAATCCCGGATGACTGTTGGTATCTTTTGACTTCTAGTCCATTCTTTGGAATCATTCGGCTTTCGGTCGAACTAGAGAGCTTATCCCACCCGTCCGTGGTGGCTATGATTGGACAAAAGCCGCGGAAAAAGAATGTAGGTTTAAAATACGATGAAGTCATAAGTTCGATGCTGTTACAGAAAAAGACAACAGAGGAGTGACTGAGTCGGGAATGAATGGGTGAGCGGTTCTAGCCACGTACACCCTCAACGAACGACGTCGGATGTTTTTTCTTGAATCTGTCTGATGAAAGAGTTCTATGCTGATTTGATTGGTGATGCATGAATGCTATCCTACTCAAGTGCGATCGATGAAGTTCCAGCCTTTTGCCCTAGTACATATAATCATATACCACATTGTGTTCTCTGTTAGAAAGAACTTGACTTTGATGTATTCCAATTTCGATCTACCGATTAAGTCTCTAGGTGCTGTTTCTGAATCAACAGATCAACAGTGATTGCAATCCCGGGGGAAAGATGTATTCGAATGTGGCGTAGATTTTGTTTGCGTTTTCATTGACTTGTAATTTCCGGATTAGTGTCGCTCCCATGTTACCTTGATGAATCTCCCCTCACGTTGGTGATATGACTGTTGGTATCTTTTGACTTCTAGTCCATTCTTTGGAATTATTCGACTTGCGGTTGAACTAGAGAACTTATCCTATACTTTCGTGGTGGCAATGATTGGACAAAAGTCGCGGAAAAAGAATGTAGGTTTAAAACACGATTAAGTCATAAGTTCGATGCTGTTGCAGAAGAAGACAACAGATACCCATCAGAGGAGTGACTGTGTCGGGAATGAATGGGTGAGCGGTTCTAGCCACGTACACCTTCAACGAACGACGTCGGATGTTTGTCTTTCTTGAATCTGAAAGAAAGTGTTCTATGCTGATTTCATTGGTGATGCATGAATGCTATCCTACTCAAGTGCGATCGATGAAGTTCCAGTTGTGTTCCCTGTTAGTAAGAACTTGCCTTTGATGTATTCCAATTTCGATCTATATTGGTGTGATTTCAATCCCGGGGAAAAGAGGTACTACCAGTATCTCTAGTCTGCCGGGACTATAAACTGGTGATGTCCAAATGTATCATCGGCCTTTTCTTGGAATGATTTGACATGAGGTCGAACCAGAGAACCGCATAATCTGGTACCACGGGAATTGGTATCTTATACAAGTGGTACTATTGAATTTTCCTTATCCAGGTATGTTCAAAAACTCTGTTTATATCACATTTACCACGGTGTGTTCTCTATGAGTAAGAACAAAGCCCTCGGCTTTTTGATGAATTCGTGTTTCGGTCTATCGAATACGTCTGTTGCCGACTCAACTGAGGCCATCACATCTGCGTGGTTGTAAACGGAAGTGATGTTTTTTGGAAGTTAAACAACGGGGCAGCAATGGTAATCTCTGACCATTGCTGCCCCGTTGTACTTGAGCAAAACTAGTACAAAAACAGCCACCTGCGTGTAAGATACACAAAGGGGCGCTGGAAAGTCGTCACAAAAGCACACCCTGAAAAAGACCACCGTAAAATAAGGCCGTCACGACAGGTGTTCATGTAAAGCACTTCGACATCATGATCCTTTAACACATCCACGACTGAGTTTACAGCTCAACTAGCCCTTTAATTGCAAACTTATATCACTTCATTCTTAAAAGGATAACATCCTTTGATGTCCTTTAAAAAACATATGAAAGAAATTTATCGATTTGGATTTTTGAGTGAAAAAGTTAATTGATTTTGCTCTTAAAGATCTTTTTAGTTGCAGAACTTTAGTATTATAATAGAAAATAGGGTAGCAGATAAGGATTTAAACTGCTCGAGAGTAATCCAAAAGACTTAACACAAAGTTTAAGCTCAGACTCGGAGGCAGCTGAAAACTTTAGACAAGTATTATTACGGATTACGATGAGAATAACTTTAGTTCGGAAGATCATGTTTTAGCACCCTTAGTCTATGCTAATGCTCAATCGTCCAGGCCCTGCATAACGTTGGCCTTTAAAAAGAAAAGTGTAGCTGTTGATCGGGAAAAGCGGCCACAATGCGAAAACGTAGACGTTTGATAAAGGTATGAAGGAGTTAAGTGATTTGGATATGTTGTCAGCGGACTTGATTTAATAAATATCGAAAATATATAATAGATATAACAGATAGAAAAGTTTTCCATATAAATGAGTGCATTCTTAGATTTTTTGTAGTGGAAAACGTTAGATAAGTATTCTTTGGTATTAGGGTTAAATATTTAAGTTCTTATTTCCTATTTCTCACCTTGGATAGTACTTTCCCAATGTATTGATGACCAAAAAGTAAAGGGAGTTTTTGTGTCTATAAAATATATTTTGTCATTCCGTTTTTTTTTTCTAAGATATACAAAAGTATGTATGTATATTCCGGTTTATTATTAGACCCTTAGACTGTATGTATGTTAAAAATACGATAATTAAACATGGGCAATACTGGACACGATTTCAGCTAGTGCCCCCTGAAAACATCTTAAGTAGGTTTGTTTGATAGAAGGATATATATTACATAAAATCCAATGAAACACACCGAAGCCTCCATCGGACATACTGTGCACTACTTTACCAATATCTCTGTTGAGAATCAAACCCACGATTTCCGATCTGAAAGACTAGAACACTAACCTACCAGAGGAACAGATATAACATTGCAATGAAATTCGACATATACAAGATTTATTGGGACCGAAATGTCTCAAATGATAGCTCCAAAATTGACTCTATTCCTCTATAACCCATCATACAGAAAATAAGTTTATTGTCAATAAATCATTCCAAAAGTTTGTTTTAAAAAATTAATCTCTCTTTTAAATTTGAAAAAGGTCGGTCTATAATGGCCCAAATTCTCATTAATACTTTTCTTTTATTCCTGATATCTTTTACCTTTCGTTGTTGGGGTATTGATTTGAAATTATTTCGCTAGTTTGCTATATCAGGGGATTCGACCCAAAACACATAAGTAAGAAACCAGTGGTTAAGTATTAAACGAGACTCAGGTACATTTTGTTTTTAATATTCTTAAAATATTCGCAGAATCCTTAACTCAAAAAGTTCTCTGTTTAAGACATCGAATTTTCTTGAACAGTTACTGCTTAACGATAACTGAAGCTTGAGATTATGGGCCTAAATATGGTACATTGGACATATTGTTGGATCTGTTATTACATTCGAAAAAACTATAAAATGTTTACAAAGAAAAAAACGCGATTTCCGTATAAAGAATTTGTGGTTCCAATATAACGAAGCAACGCAAATCGCTCGAAATTTCACGTGTGTTTCCTGGACTCTTATATTGTTCATTTTTACTGCTCTCGAATTTGTCGAATACGAATAGTTCTCGACTGAACAGTTGTAAAAGTGTTTAACAATTGTAAAAAGTCGTCAATAATAACGTTATACACTTGATTAAATACTTTAAAATAAAATGTATTAACTATATAATAAATCACTTTAAAATCCTTCCAATATTTAAATCAAATCTTTTAAAACATATTAAAATTTAACAAAATGTCTTCTGCTTAAATCCTAAACATTAATATCAAATAAAAATCAAAAATGGGCGTGTTGTATAACAAGAAATACTCAAAATTATATATTTTCAACTCAATATATTAGAAAATCAACGAATTATCACACGATTTATAAATAGCACAATATCTCAAGGCAGAAAGCAAATTGAGTGTTGAACATCTTGAAAATGTTTTTGAAAAAGAACTAAAAAAAAAACAAAAAATTGAGATGTGAATATTTTGAAAATTAAAGAAGAAAAAATATTGTCACCAAATGTATAATGAGCGTCGCAGATGACAAGACATACGAGTGAAACGCGGCAAAATAAACGGAAAGTTAAGCGGGAGAAAAAAATTATAAAATATCGCTTGGAAATATTAAAAAAAAATCGAATAGAAAAAGATCAACAAGTGAAGATATACAAAATTGAAAAATTAAAGTTTTAAGTGCAAAATTTCTTAATATTTAAAAAATAAAATTAATAATTATTAATTTAAAAAAAGTCAAAGGAAAATTAATGGAATATTAAAAAAATACATAAAAAATATTAAATTTCAAACAGTGCTTTTGAAACAAAAGTTTTACAATCATGACCAAATATCAAAGAAATTTACAATATTTAAATATTTCAAATGTTAATAGTAATAATAACAACAACAATATCAGTGATAATTGCAGTGACAGTGATGCAACAACACTTATACCACAAGCGGCAATTAAACAAGAATTTAATAATTTATTAGAAAATTCTAACAAATCAATGATTAATCATCATTTAAATATGCAGCAACATAACAATGCGGTTCAACATCAACATCAGCAACAAAATCATTACCATTCACATCATCACCAGCAACAACAGCAACAGTTACAAACATTTTTGAGTCGTTTCAATAGTGTTGCATCAACTAACGATTCTTTGACTTTGTCGAATGCCACAAACTCTTGTAATTTCCGCAATTTTAACGATTCAAATGAATCGCATAATTTAACTCCTTCGCCCATTTTTACGGATTACGATGAGAATAGCTTAAGTTCGGAAGAGCATGTTTTAGCACCTTTAGTCTGTGCTAATGCTCAATCGTCTAGACCCTGCTTAACGTGGGCCTGCAAAGCATGTAAAAAGAAAAGTGTTGCTGTTGATCGGCGAAAAGCGGCCACAATGCGAGAACGTAGACGTTTGAGAAAGGTATACAAGTTCAGAGTTTTGGATATGTTTTCAGTGGACTTGGTTTTATAAATATTAAAAATATATAATAGATATAAAAGATAGAAATGTTTTTTGCAATGGGTGCATCTTATACATATTTCTCTTTTTGGTGGAAATTTAAAAAGTCTAATCTAGATTATCTAAGCATTCTGATAATCTAATAATCATTTGGAATTTTATAAAACTGCGATTTTCCATTTCCATACTATATGTACACCGACGGTAAAGCACTATATCAGCCAAGCTATTTGAAAATAATTCGCTTAGGTTTCAAATAACATAGTTTAACTTTGGTACATGTTAAAGTGGGTGAAGTCCTATCGTGAAACTCAAAATTTCGCTATTTCTGGAGTTGAAACAATGCTTTTAAGCTTATCAGTAAAGCTATTGGTACTTTGAAAGTGAAGCTTAAACATCCCTAAGTTAGTTGAAGGACCCATCGGTAGACAAATTGTTATTTCATGCAATTTTTCAAGAGATCAAAATTATGTTTTATTTCTAATTCCTGGACATATAACAGCAAAAATAACCAGTGGAACTATTTAAATATGGAATCAGGGTCTCAAGTAATGAGTCAGATCCGTTAAGTGCTAATTTGAAATCTTAAGAAAAAGATGTTTAAAGGTGGGCAAAACCAAGTTACTATATTGGTTTCTCAGGGATGAGAAACGATATTAGTGATGACAAACCGACACTAGTGCCATTTGATCTGCGAATATAATCAAATGAAATCAACTATGTATGCTTAGCAAACTAGGTTAGGTTAGGTTGATAGGAGGATGTATACTACATCAAATCCGAAGAAATACACCTATTCCACTAGGGCCTGTTGTGCGCTCCTTTTCATGAAAAAAGTTTACTGAATGAATTATGTTTCAGTGTTCAGAAATTCAGTTTCCTGGACGTAATTCCTCAGAATCTTCCAATCAGTGTTAGTCAGGAATGTTATTTCCGGAATAACATCACTTCCAAGATACTTGAATCTAACTTCGACGAATGCCTGGTAGTGGCAAAGAAAGTGCTCCAGAGTTTTACTGTCCTCTCCACAGTTTCTACATTCGTGTGAATCCGCTCGTCTAATTTTGCATAGATGTGCTCGTAATCCTGTGTGTCCACGCAGAATATGTACCATCATACTAACCTCAGACTTGCTCAATTTGAGGAGATTTTTCGTCTGGCTCTCATCAGGGTCACCCAATAGGATCTTCGTGGTTCTACCCACTGTTTTATTATTCCAAGAGGCCTTATGGGATTCTCTCATCCATATTTTTAGTTCAGCTTTTGTTGCGAAGAATGGTTTTGCGTTTGTCAGGTTAACTGCTTCGAGCTCCCTTCCCTTTAAAGCTATTACATTCGCCTTTTCGTTGCGGACTACTCCCGAGTGGCCTGGTACTAGGGTGATCGACTCGATTTTTCAACCGGTTTTAAAACCGGTTTTTTCTGCTTTACCAGTGTCGGTTTTTTCTTAATGTTGATTTTTCGAATATCGAATAACCCGGTTTTTTCACTTTTTAAAAACCGGTTTCGAATACTTTTATTTGCTTTGTATTCAAAGATTATTTAAATGAAATTTTTAAGTAAATAATAATACAGCCCGTCTAAATTTTAAAAATATTTGAGTCGAGGAACTAGCGTATATTTTTCTAAAGCTTCTTTGGTTAAACTTTTTTGATTTCCCTAATTAATTAAAAAAAATTATTTGTAAAATTGATAACTGTTTGTTAAAATTTTATCAATCTTAAGATTATATTCCAATTACAATAATTAATTTACGGCTGAAATTTTATGGAAGTGTTGGAATGCCTATGCAAATTTCCTAAACAGGGCTTTTAAAATAAGCTAGGATTACATAGTACCTTATGTTTAATAGAAGTGTCCCACTTTTTTCTAATTTTTTTATATTAAAGATATAATGTAAATCAGACGACTAGATCGAAAGTTATAATCTTTTAAACTGTTAAAAATCATTACGGGCCATGTTTTATTAATCAAATTTAAACATAAACATTAAGTTTTTCAAATTAAAATATATTTTTTTATTTATAATGAAAAACCGGTTAACCGGTTTTTTCTGAATTTGAAAAATATCAACCGGTTTTTTTAAATGTCAACTATTCGAACTATTCGAAAACCGGTTTTTGGAAAATGTCGAATAATCGACACCCTACCTGGTACCCATATGATTTAAACCTTACCTCTGGGAGAGTATTCAGTTAAAACTTTGACCCCCAATTTAGAGCCATCCGTGTAACAACGAATTCCTACTGGTATTTGCTCTAATGTTCCGCTTGACCAAGACATTCTATCTGGGATCAGCGTTTTAAAGTTTACGATATATTCTGTGTCTGGTATATATACGATATATTCTGTGTCTGATATATTCTGTGTCTGATATATTATGTGTCTGGTATGCGATCAGGCACGCAAAGGCAAACTAAGTCTATTAATATATTCTTCGGGATGTGAAACGATTTTATTTATAACAATTTTCCTGTCTGAATTTTATGCAATTTTTTAGAGCGTCACTATTGCCTTGATTTGTAAAAAGAGCACAAGTTGAAAATAAATGTTTTACAAAATACTGGAGATTTTATCAAAACCAAAGAAATATGTCTTGTTTAGTTCTGTGCTCGCCATAGAATTATTTTTCGATAAGAAAGTTAATGCAGCGATTTGGCTCATTTTCTGAATCGAATTAGCGATGTCCGTCCGTTGGTCTGTCCGTCCATTTAAACCAAAATAATTTGACAAAATTTGGCACATACATACAAAGTGTCTTTTGAACAAAGAAGGGAACCTATTGAAAATGATTAAAATCAGTTCATTATTTCATCTAGACCCCATACAGCCGTACACCCCGAATAGGGCTTTAAATCTAATAATTTGTTAAATATTTTAGTGTATCAACAAAGCATTTAGATTACAAATAAGCCTAAATACTTCTGTCGATTTTTTTTAATCATCGGGGCTCATTAGGCCCTAGATCCTTTACATACTTCCCCTCAGAAATAGTGTTGAACATCCATAATTGACTTATAAACATTAACATAACTATCAAAGTCAACATAAGTAACTTTTATATAAAAAATAAATTCCTATTCCTAATTTTATGAGGATCGGTCCATATTTGCTCTAATCCACTTTCAGAAAATCAATTGTTCATCAATAAATTGCTAAAATATATCGTAATTAGATAAAATGTGTCATGAATTCATCTATAAAATCACATTTTAAATACATATACTCTGAACTCGAGAAGAGTGTCATATGATCATTCAAGTCAGACTATACTATCCTACTTGTTTTATTTAAAAGATCCCAGAATATGGCTTCGCTCCAATATCCGCGCAGATTCTCATAGCCGTAAGAAAGAAGGCTGAATATAAACCAGACTAGAAAACAACGGAAATGATACGGGATCGTATCGATCTTGGTTCTGTTTTGTCAATTTATGTTGATAGTCGGGCTGTCTAGTTGTAGAATGTAGAAATGTTTTAATTGATATTTTGAGACTGTTTATAATATGGTTGTTTGTTGCCAGCGAAATGAGAAAATTTAATTTGGAAGAAAAGGTTTGAACTTTGATCTAAATGGAATTGATATATCTATCAGTCCGGGAATAGAAAAATTGGTAGTAAAATATCAAAAACCTTATGACCAAGACTAAGATTTAATGTAAAAGCAACTAAGATACTTATTGGACTAGACAGATGTAGTCTATGGACTCTAATGGGAGTTTTAATGGGACAAACCATACCGTACTTCTGCTGCTTATGCAAGGATGTTTGAGGAGCTAGAAACAATTTGACATATAAGTTGCCTTTATCCTAAACTACTACCAGAGTCTCAGAATAGAAAGTCTAGAAACTAGAAAATATTGCTGGGTGGAATCCACGCACACTACTAGGTTTCAGGGGAATTAGCTCTTTTGTAGATTGGATCTCCTATCATATTTCTTTCGGTATATGAATACAAATAAATCAGGTACCATTCCGATTCCCATGGGCCTCAGTGTCGTTCCAGTCCTTTCTCTTTTACTTTTTCCTGTTTTTATATATGTAAGTTTGTAATTGTTATAATACAATGTCACGACCCTTTGAAGTATATATTCTGGACTTCCAACATCGATTTTTGTATGAATTTATATGGAAAATATTTTTTATGAAACATTATAATTGTTTAAGGTCGATTTCCAAATAATATTTTGAAAATAATAAGATCAGTACCGCAAATCTGTATTTTTTTAATTTTAACTACCAATATCGTAAAGTAACGATAAATATCGATTGCATTAACGAATTTTCAATTCTGTAACTTTTTAACGACCTTAGAATATTTTAACGACAAATATCGGAAAACTATGAGAATGTCAAAAGTTTTGTATTGAAATATTTTTAAAATATAAAATTATTAACGTGAACTTTTTATTTGTCGTTACATTGCCGATACTTTTCGTTATGTTTAACGAAAAAAATCGGTGGAATACAATTCAGAATACCACATAACGACAATTATTGTTAACTTACGAATTTTTACTATTTAATGACAAAATTTTCTAGTTAAAAAGTTACTGAATTGCGGTACAGATCTATATATTAATTTCTTTTTTTAATTTATTGCTGTAAAGTTCCACCTTTAGTAAAATAAATAATTTCAGTTTAAGCCTATTACAATTTTCCTTAACCCCCCCCGCTCCTTACCAAATGATCGCCATTAAATTCGAAAATATACTAATAATATACTAAAAATGCTCATCTCCAAATGATCGTTCGCCATTGGCTGATAAAAAGTATAAATTTTATGAAAAATTTTTCTAATTCAATTAACATTAAAATTTTATAGCAAAAAATCTCATAAATGTCAAAGACAATTTAATGAGCGTCAAATTAAGATATGTAATTTTAACAAATTTATATTTAAAACTATTAAAACGAAAGGAAAAAAAATAAAAACCATTAAAATTTTTACGATCTGCAAAAGTCTTGAAAATGTGCGATCAACAAATTGTTGTTTAAATTGTTGCAAGTTAAGGAAGAACGAAAATGAAACGAAATCTTAAATTTTATGATCATAATAATCACAATATCAACCAAAATAAATATTCAAAACAAATCGTCCAGTACTAGTTATAACAAAAATAAAACTGTCGTAAAATTTGGAAAATTTATGTTTTGGTTAAGAGTGAAAGAGAGGAGCAAAAGTAAAATAATATAAAAAGGGGAGAAGAAATTAAATTTTAATGATCAGTTTGAAAAATTTTACATAATTTTATGATTTAAAGAAAAGACAACAACAAATGAAATCAAAAAATCATAAAACTTTATTGAAAACATATCACAGCTAAATAGTATAAGGATTGTAGTGGGGAACAAGGGGAAGAGTCAAATGAGCTACAAAATTTTACAAAAACAAATTTTATTGTTTTCAATTTAACGCATATTTTAATTTGAATTATGATCACAAAATAAAATAAAACCTTTCCAACTTTATATACATACATACATATCTGTTTAGTTTTCTCTGTGTAGGAAATGCTTGATATTAATTTAAAACATAATTAATTGTGTGTGATTTTCTGTTTTTATTTTTCTATAAATTTTCAACAGACTCTCATGCATGTCTGTTTTATTTGTTTTCATTTGTTTTGTATTTAGCTGAGTATTTATGATATTTTATAATTTCTATAATTTATTGCAGGTTAACGAGGCATTTGAAGTACTGAAACGACGTACCTCTTCAAATCCCAATCAACGTTTACCAAAAGTGGAAATACTTCGTAATGCCATCGAATATATTGAGAGTCTGGAGGATTTGTTGCAGGTAAGATGATCAATTTTGTAGAATTTAAAACTTTTATAATGGAAATCTCTTTTCAATGATATAGTAAAATAAAATGTAACATATTACTTGCTGAAGTTTTAGAGGTTTTAAATTTAAACTGTAACAGTTTGAATTTTCATTTCAACAGAGTATGTAGTTTTTTTTTTAATAAAAAGCAAAGATCATACATTTAATGTGATCGCACTTTGAGATTTGAGGGATATTTACATATAATAAATGATAGGAAAAGGATAGCGTTCATTGGAGGTACAGACAAAAATCTACTCCGTAATACAAGAGTCGTTCTGGTACAGCTTATGTCAGGACTCATTTAAAGCATATTTTTCTTTATTTGTACCAAGGGTCTCCAATTCCTAGACCAGTTTAATGTTCTCCGTAACTGAATCAATTACATGCTAAGGAACATATGGATAAGCTGCGAGATGTATGATATAACTATTAGGTAAAAGGTATTTCGCGGTATACCACAGGGTGGTATTTTGTCACCTTTACTTTGGGTTACCACGATTAATAGCCTCCAAAGGACTCTAATTGAAAAAGAACATAGAACTGTCTGCTGTGCAGACGATGCCTTAATACTTTTAAAGGGAAAGGATCCAAATTACTTGTCTAGAAGAGCTGAGGAGACTCTGAATACGGCGTTGAGATGGGCTCAACCGAGAAGCCTCAATGTTAACCCGACGAAGACGGAAATCTGTCTTTTCACAAGAAAGACAAAAATTTCTACGTATACTGAACCTTGCTTCCTAGGCAAGAAGATACCGGTGACAGACAAAGTTAAGTACTTAGGTGTAATCCTCGACCAGAAATTAAAATGGGCAAACCACATAGAGGATAGGATTAACAATGCTGTGCGAGATGTAGGAGAACTATAGGTATGAAATGGGTCCTACTATGACAAATTGGCTTTATAAAAGTGAAATATATTTAAGATATGAGGCGGCGCTTACAGGCGAATGGCTCTTTATTTTAGGCAAACTGGCCAAAAGCGGTAATAGGACGCGTCATCAATATATACTGGACACATTGGAAGGTTATACAAAATCATCGGACGTGCCTGATCGCATACCAGGCACAGAATATGTCGGAAACTTTGAAACGCTTATCCCAGATAGAATGTCTTGGTCAAGCGGAAACTAGAGCAAATACCAGTAAGAATCTGTTGTTACGCGGATGGCTCATTTTGGAGGATAAAGTGGGCCTGGGGTTCTATATTGAACATCCAGAAACATAAATATACCACCGTTTACCTAATCATAACACATGTTTCCCGGCAGAAGTCCGAGCAATAACGGAATGTGTAAATTGGATTAGAATAAATATGGCGCCCACAGCCCTTAATATATTTACCGACAGCCAGAAGGTAATTAGGGCGATATCAGGTGATATAATTATGTATATCTAACAAAAGCTGAATAAAAATAAGGATGGGAGAATCCCAAAAGGTCTCTTGAAATAATAAAACGGTGGGTATAACCACAAAGATCCTATGGGGTGACCCTGATGAGAACAAGACGAGAAATCTCCTCAAAATGAGCAAGTCTTAAGTTAATAGATGGAAACTCTGTAGCACTTTCTTTGGTAGTATCAGGCATTCGTCGAAGTTAGATCCAAGTATCTTTGTAGTGATGTTATTCCGGAAATAACATTCCTGACTAACACTGATTGGAAATTGCTTAGGAACTACATCCAGGAAACTGAGTTTCTGAACATTGAAAAATAATATACTCAGTGAACAAATTATGTTTTACGGTCTTTATTATTCTTCACTCTTTACATTTTTTTAGGCCTTAATTCCATATTCTACCTTAGATTTTCTTTATTCTGATTCATGAGTTGGAAGAAAGGTAGTGGAGGAGTCCTCATTTCAGATACCGAAGTGAATGTGTTTATTTTCATTACTTATTTTGTATATACATAGTTCCTTAAATTATTCCGATTTTATTTTATTCTAGGAATTAATTTATAATTTTTTATTTGAAACAAATTATTTATTAAAAATAAGATTTTATATGTTTAAGGGTTATAAGGTGTAATATGCACCGACCCTTATAAAATGTGTAAAAATTAAGGTTACTGAACTAGGTTAGTGAATATTTATAGGTCAATAATGGTTCTATAATATTCATAGGGCATAATTTTAGAACCTGCCATGATGACGTAATCATGCGATGACTTTTGTATTCACTGAGCAAGTACACAGGTACATGGCTAACGGTGGTCCATGTACAAGAACTTGGGACATCTAATTTTTTGTTAGTTACCTTGAGAAAAATCTTAATGAATATTTCTAAAGTAAGAAGCTTTGAGGCAATAGTAAGGATTCCCTTGGAATCAACACGCCATCTAAGTGTCAATACTGCTTCTGCTTCACCATAGAAGGGGACCACCAGTCAACAATGACATAGACAATGCTTCCACCACTTCTAATATCTAAAAACTTACTCCAACACGTGCCTAAAGCTTAAAGATAGCGAAGCCATATTACTGAAATATGCCACAAATATAAAACTATAGACTAGATTATCGACTGGACTGTAGACTATAGACTAGACTATTGACAAAACTATAGACTCGACAACAGATTCGACTATATACTAGACTACAGACTAGACTATAGACATTTGTAATTACTTCATTTTATAAGTGAAAAAACGTCAAAAATCTCCAACTGCTGGTTAAAATTTGCCAAATTTCCCGCTAATCGCTAAAACGTATTTTTTCCCGCAAATGTCATTTCAAAAACGTCAAATTGCCATCACTAGAGGCAACATAAGCAAGTCTTTTATAACAGTCAACCTGGGAGAGGCAACAGCGAAGAGATTTTCAGTCATGCCTTTTCAGTTCCATACTTATTGTATAAAGTTTTGTCACAGATTGAAGACAATTACGAAGTATCAACCTGACAATTTACCGACCTGGAAGAGGCACTCAGCTAATATGGTCCACCTAAGCGGTTCGGTATATGCCTCAATACGTGGTTGTTCAGCCACATCAGAATATAACGTTCATCAGTGACAACTGTTGAGACTGCAACTGCAGTGTAAGACTTGCAACACATGATAGTTGCATATCCATATGAATATGAGTTAATTGATTAACATTCTCATTCTGAGATTTGGTTCCAACCACAGCCACCTAGTGCAGCAGGAAGGAACTTCACTACTTAATAGCCATGGTCTGACCGCATGATGAAACTTCTCCAGTTTGAGATCCCAGTTATAAATGAGGACTAGAGTCGAATTTTGTTCAATTTTCACCAAACTTTAAACAATGATTTCCAGGCACATACACAACTATTGACTTATGTTTCGGGCCCTTTAGGCAAAAAATACTAAGAACCACATTTTACGCCGATGCTAAAACGGCCCATAATATTGAATAAAATTATAAAAATTATATTCTCTAAAAAAGAGATCACAATTTTCCTTTTGATTAACAAATTATTTTTAAAAATTTCAGGAATCATCGCCAATAAGAAGTATGGATAATTTAACAGATACAATAAGTGGGAAATCATGCCAGCAGGATTATTTGGTAAGTAAAAAAAAACTTTCCTAAGTTGTAATTAGATTTATAAATATTTTTTATTTGTGTTATATTTGACTATAACGAATCTTATATATCCACCATTAATATAACCTTGTCATATATGTATTTATATTAAAATTTATGGGGTTAATTATGCACCGAAATTATCAGAAATAGAGAGATGGTGACTAATTTATAATTGAAAATTTTTTCAACTGTAGACAGAGGGAAAAAATATACACGCCTGGTACCAAATTGACAACAAATTTTTCAATAACATCCGTTGTCAAGTATATACTTGACAACGTACCAGGCGTGTATATTTTTCCCCTCTGTGTATGCGTTCCTTTTTAGAAGTATTTTAGAACAACAACAATGTTCCGAGGAACGGATTCCAGAAGTAATGGCGACATCACTAGTTTCAAGGTTGTTGTTTAAGAATCTGAAGTGGTTCTCTTAGCATTCGTTCTAGAACTAGTTTTTTTTAGAACAATTTCAAAACTTTTTCCTGAGTTACAAATAATTTTATGTTGAATTTTTCATAATATCTTAATTTTTTAAATCAAATTTTAATAATGAAGTGAATTTCTGACAATCATGATTCGATGTTAAATTTGGTAGAGATCTTTTGGTTGATTAAAAAAATACTTGTTTATGTCAAATTCATTTTTAAGCCAGTTATGAACGTTAATGTCATATTCTAAAGGGGACCTTTTATGGGGTTAGGGATTTTTCCTATTTTCAATACAAAACACACTGTATAAATATGAAATATTCATAGAAAAAATCAACCTCCCGTTTAGACTTTATCGTGCCCAAAATTCCAAAAAATATTCATGTCTGATGAATTAATTCAAGATTTAGGTTCATAAGATATTTGGAGCTTTGGAAATATTCAAATCTAAATCCATTATCTACAATGATCGAATATATATGTAGGTACTCTTTATTAGATAACAAAAGAATTTTGGATATTTTAGAAATTTTTAGTGAGCGATATTATGAATCGGTAAACAATCCAAATAGCAATAGATCTATTTGAATAATGTATATAAATATATGTATTTTACTTTGATTTCGATAGTGTCATTTGAAATTTTCATTATCATTAATTTTTATATACTCGATGAAAAAAATATCTTTCTGAAAAGAAAGATTTAAAACACCAAAATCAAAACAATATCATGATTTATAACATTGACACTACAACAAATTTTTCATTGAAAAACTAAAACAGAAAGTGTTTTATTTTTTTTTTTTTTCAATTTTATTTGCCGTCGTTGGAATTTTTCCCCTAAATACTAAATATTCCACTAAATATTCCATTTCCAAATTGATATTAAAGATAAAAGTATAAAAGAAATAACTATAAATAGAGACAATTTTCAACATAAATTAGTTTTAGATTTTAGACAAACGTGCTTAAACACCTGTAACTAACGAATGGATCTAGAGGCATTTTAATTTTAAATACTTCGTTTTTTTAGATTTGTTTATTTTTAAATAAATTTATTTTATAGCTGCATAATTATTGTTGTTGCTGTTAGATTTGATAATTTATTTTTAAACAGCAATTAATAATTTTCATTTGTTGCTACTTTCGCGTGCTGTAATAATTATTTGCTGTCCATTTTAAATTTCAGTTTTATTTTCTGTATTAAAGTATTTTATAACAAGTTTCTGCTTGAAAAATATAAAATTTTCTCAAAGTTTTCTTTCTTTTTCTGTGATATTTTTTTCGAACACACAAAAACACATTCATCAAATTGTTGTGAGTAGAAAATTAGCTTTTCCTCATAGTTTTTTTTTTTTTTTTTTTGTTTTAAATATTCCAAGAAACAAAATGTTTTTGAAAATAATTTAGCTTTCCGGCGTCAAAATAATAGAATATAATAAATTTATGTTTTCTATGGATTTTCGATAGAATGAGAATGATTTTTTTTAAAACACCCTGAAAAATTATGGCAAAATAAATAAGGTAAGATATTTTAGTGGAATGGGAAGCTTTCATGATGCCCTACATTAATTTTCGAATTATTTATGTATTTTGGAATCGATACTATATTCCTATAAATGAAATAAACCACAAAACGGTTTTTTACTTTTTGTAAAGGTCAGGGGATTCCCAAGTAAAATAAAGTGTTGTCAATTAAAAAAGGTTCAAAAAATATGGCGGCACACTAGAAGTATTTCGGATATATGTATAATTTGTATTTCGGAAATATAAAATAAGATGCTGAAATGAGAGTTTCTGAAATGCAATGTTCTCAATTGAAAATTTCTGAATTCATTAACGCTAAGTCCTGTTATGTGCACCTTTACCTGGTGAGAATCGAATCCATGATCTCCGGACCGACAGACCAACTAACCCACTGGAAAATCAGGGTGGTTTTCGGAAATTGTCTTTTTATTTAGACTTGAATCAATTATGGACCGAACTTTTTAGAATTCAAGAGAATGATTCTAGATTAAACGATTTATTAACATTAAAGTGATTTTCTGAATGAGGGGTTATATGGGAGGCAGGATCAGTTATGAACCGATCATTATTGTAACATTTCAATATTTTGGTTCATAAAAAACTTGTTTATGTTAAATTTCAATACTTAAAGTCATTTTCTGAAGAAGAACTTATATGGGTCAAAAGCTCCAACTACTAAGCCAACCACATCAATAGAGAAAATTTGTAGGAAATTCGGTTTAGTACCTATTAGGTATTCACAGGCTGCTATACTACTTTAACTTAGGTCCTGGGGATCCCTTTGTAAATGACTGTAAAAAGATTACCAGAAAGAGGGAAGAGGTTGGAAATATAAAAAGAATGAAAAAGAAAAGTCGAAAAATGAACAGTAATAGAGAATTTTGAGGGAGTTACTGGGTAGGTACTACAATTGAGCATTTGATAGATCAAATCGGCTAGAAACTAGTGTTTGGTAACGTATGGCTTGAAAGGCTTGCACAGAACATGAGTTGCGAATTCTTTCCTCCTCGTCATTACATATAAGGAAGGTTCATGGTTTCTAAATTTGCAGAATCAGACGGATATTAAGACCTAGAATATACAAGGTCTTAATTTTTAGTGATTGAGCAAGTGACCATCTAGAGCATTAGTACACCAGGTTTCAAAAACACTCTACTTAATACCTATCGGGGAAACCCCACAGAATTGATCTATGATCATATTTACTGCACTCGCCAATACCACAGCATTACTGACCCATGGTCAAGTGGACAACTATCAGTGATTTAATATCAGCTTGACTATCAGTAAAGATTCTGATGTCTGATTTCATCTTAGCCAATTCACTGCCCTTTTAATAACTGCTATTTCAGTTTAAAGAACTGTACAATCATCATAAAGGATATTTTGATGGCACATTCTTCAATGAAGATACCACCTCCTCACTTTCTCTTGAATACATCAGTGTAGACATAAATGTAATTGATAGTCAAGGGGATATACATATAAAAACGGAAGTTTATTTTAAAAGATGGTTCCGAAATACTGCGATCAATCTATATCATTATAGAGGCTGAGTAGAAGATCGACAATCTTCACATGTCCCCTGAAATGAAAGTTCCATTTAGCAGTTGAGCTCAATCTGATTGCAGTGCACGATCATGGTTAGATCGGTTTAGAATCAAATAAGGACCCAGAATACATATATACTTTTATGGGTCTACGACCAATATTACACACAGAAAACAGATCGATTGGAAATCGGTTACCATGATAATTATTTAGTTAAATTAATTAAAATTGTATCGCTGTTATTGAAAAACTGTATACTTAACTGATTTTCTATATTCAGTATTAAAAAACAATAATACTAATCGAACTGTGGTTTTAACAATTTCTAAATCAATAATTTGAACTGAATTGTATCGGTTATTAAATTCATTTGTCAATTCAGTAAATGTAGCCGACTTTTATTTAGGATTAAAACGTAAGAACATTAAATATTAGTCGCTACAACCGAAAAACAGTAGAAAGTGAAAAATATTGAGCACTGCAACCAATTATCAATTGAAAAAATTATTTAAAATTTAATTACGGTTAAAGGAACGAAATTCGATATTCACAACCGATTAATTGGTAATTATGGTTGACGTATACAAAAATAAATAAAATAAAACTAATTTATAATATAAAAAAACCTAATTACATTTGAGGATAAATTAATGCAGAAATTTGGATAAAAAAAGGTAATATAAAATATACCAAAATTTTATATCTTATAATATATTTTGTGTCATTTTTCTATAATGTTTTCCTTTGAAATGTTGAGCAGAATCAAGAGCAAAATCCCTGGTACATAAATGCTATGTTTATTACCGTGAAAATCTCAATACTAAAGGGGAGGCGTTATTTTATATATAAACGTTTAGTAAGTTTATACATATTTATATTTTATTGTAAATACTTTACACAAAATAAATATATTTTTAAATACACATAATCCACAAATTTTTTTTCTATAAATAATATTTCAGTTCCTAATACCAATAATTTCAATCCAGATTACCGAATAATAAATAAAAATAGTTGTGTACACCATATATTCAGTAATACTAACCGAATTATACAGTAATTACAATCGAATTTTGGGATAGTTGTTAGAACCGACTGAATTCGATTGGAAACAAATTCGGTTATCACAACGAATCTGTTTTCTCTGTGTATGATTTGTCGTAAACGGTGTGACAAAATCACTTATATTGAAACCCAATATTTCTTGACGGCAGTTATGAAAGAGTTTATTCTCTATAGAGAACGATTGTGATTTATAATTTGAAATCTAGTTTATCTCTTTTAAGTTTCGGAAGCTTTAGTACAAGCTAAGGGAGATGAGCGATCATCGAAATAATCTAAAACAAATTCGATTTATGGAACGTTTACATATTTATAACTTTTTTATTTGACGTGCTTAAAAATAGGTTGAGAGGGTCGACTCAAAGAGCATTGAATCATTTTACGTATATTCCCTTTGAAGCAATGTTGACTT